CCCCTGTTTCGCCCGAAAAAATTGAGGAGGAAAGGGACAGGATAGAAGAGAACTCAAGCCGCATGCTATAAAATTCCGAAGGGATCCCCCCCACTCAAAGTGACTGGGTCTGCCACCCATGTTCAGTACGTAAATAAAATAGTTTTCACCATTCAATGGTTTTCACGCATTCGCGCTCTTTAAAGGAAGGAGCAAACGCAACCTTCTATACGTTATACGTCGGTATGAGCGGGACGTAAAAAAACCATCCCGCGCTTTGGTGAAGTTGCCTTTTAGCAACATTTGTTTGAATTAAAATGCGCTTTTTACAGTAAAAATACCAACATTTTAAGTAGACTTGCCATCACTGTAGCATTAGTTGATTGTTGTTGTTGTCATCGATGCTGATTGGTCGAGAGAGCGAGGTGGCTGTTCTCAAACAAAACATGGCTGTCTCGTGCGTAGCATAAAGCCCCCCATTAATTTATGTTGTAAAATCATCGTGTAAACTATTCCCCTTTTATTTTTAAGTAGTTCTAGTGTAAAATGAGTGACGACGATCGGGATTTAGACATCGAAAGTGTAAGTATCTGATTTATTCCTTTCGAGAAGTTTGCAATGTAGGTCATCCCAAAGATCATTGTTCTCCATGGTCTAATGGCCACATATTTCTCTTAGGAAAATGAAATCTTCAGGTACTTTTGAAGATCCGCTGTGGTCATTTACAATTTTATTTTGTCATGGCCTCTTCATTCTATCTTTCATCTCCCCACTAAGCACCATCCGCAGCGGAACTCTCATGACTGCACAGGGAAATGACAAACGAGTGTCCAGCTTGTTGTTCAAAGATGTTGCTGAAATTGTTAAAAGTCTAGAAGTCTGTGGAATCAGAAGTCGTTAGACGTCTTTGGAAGAACCTAATCTCTGATGAAGAGGAAAAATTTCTGAGGAAAAGACTCTCTGCCTGTCCAGTGACCAAACCATGAGCACTTGTAATGTCAGGGAGTCACATTGGAGTGGCTAACCTCTACTGTTAATAGACGTATCACCCCTATTACTTTTAGTCTGAAGCGTCAGAGGACTCATTACACTGAAAGTGACGAACGAGAAAGAGATTAGTGAGAAGCTACCACTATTTTGAGTTATCAAAAATTCATTTCTGTTAATGTCCTCCGTAACAGCAGTCGTAAATCTGCAATAGGTTAGGTCGTCAAGCAAGGAACTTTTACCCCTCACTCCCTCAGGATAGCCTTTAATCAATAGCAGTCTTTGGTATGCCTCGCTGACATACTAAAGTGACTGGACAATTTAAAAATGGAATGTGGTCCTTAAGAGTCATTCCAGTCAATTAGGTCTTAAAGCATGCTTGAATGAACATTTCTACAGTAATTGCATCAGAAAATTTCTCCCATGTGATTTCTTGAAAGCCTAGTTCTCAACTGATGAGAAAAATCTAATGCTATTAATTTTATTCCTATCTTTTGATGTTATAAACTTTACTACCAATAAATTCATAATAAGCACTTTTGGACTTGATGAACAAGCCCAGGGGTGCAGATTGTTCTAGGCCTTCACACTTTTCCAGAAGGCCTCCGAAATTTTCTGCAATGTGATGGGTTTTCACAAATAGGTCAAGACAGCACGCTGATCCAAGTTTTTTTCACTTTCTGGATGTGTGCCATAGTTGTATTGTTCCACATGAGTTGAAAATCTGCAAACCTGCAAAAAAAGAAAGGAAAAGTAGAAAAAAAAGGAACTAAGTCAGCCTCCAAAATTCGGTCATGATCGCATAGTCAAGAACAATTTGTACCCCTGATTAAGCCTGTCTGCTGGACTGAAAATCATCGCCTGAAGGAGTCATAAAATAATAATCAATTAGCCACCTGTAACTGTGTAACATCTTTTTGGACATCTTTTGCCTTAAGTAATCATGGTTCTTCTTTCAAACAGTGAAATTGGAACATTTTTTACGAAGTGATAGGGATGTCTAAATCACAGAGCTGGTCATCAGCTGAGCTGAGTCCTCCTCCACCATCGGTAAAGATCAAGATTTTCAGTTTTTCTAATCACTAGTTTGAAGTGGATGTGGGATTAAACAGGGTTTTCAAGGTTTTCATCCAAAGCTTACCTTCCATTCATCCAAGGTTTATAAACTCAGGTTAGTTCTCTGGTAAAATCTTGGGACTGCTGTGCTAAGGAAAAATGTCCTTTGTGCGTTCTGAATTTCCATGATTAAAACTAGAGGTACATAAACTTCTCGAACATGTGACCGAGCGTATAGCAGTCAGTTGGTCAAGCTTAAATGGAAAGGCTGCCAAAATGGGGTTAGAAGCAAGACCAATCCACACAGGTCAGTCATTCCCGAGGACGAATTTTGGTACTCTACTGCGCAGTGACGTAGTATTGAGTGCATACAATGTATTTCTTATGGGAGCACTCAATAGTACGTCACAATGAGTGCTGCGAGTTAGGGCCGGGCGGGGGAGTGGATTTCAAAAAAGCTGCGCAATGACTGACCTGTGTGGATTGGTCTTGGTTAGAAGTTTGGGTACATATACATCTAGAGTTCTAACCTTGAAATTTCTGGGAAAAAAGGGGGTTTTTCAAATGGGAAGGCCAAGAACTTTCTGCATCCCCGGATAAAATGTGACTTCAGAAGAACCAGTAAATTTTTTCCTAAGAATTTCACTTACTTACAATTTCATCCAGGGTTTTTCCCAGAAAAAATGCTCATAATTTTCTTCAAATGGTCATCACTCTGGTCAAAACTTGGCAACATTCAAATGTTTATTTAGCATCTTCCCTTAGCACAGCAGCGAAAGTCATTTGATCTGAACAAACGAGAAAATCAAATTTTCTGTGTGCGAAAAATGTGTGCTAAACTATCTCTTACAGTCAATTTAGTTGAATTGAGAGAACCTAGAATTGAGAACCAAGTCAGGGAAATGTCTAGCAATCGAATGATAGGAGTATTCTGAAGATAATTCTTCTGAACTACAACTTTTGGCTAACCTGAGTCGATCAATCTTGTATCCATAAGTTTTTGTTGTGCTCTGAGTTCATACAAAGGGACTGTCGGAAGCCGCCAATGGAAGTCATCGGTCGAATGAAAATTAAGGTCTAACCAACTAAGACCCCTCTGTAGACAATTGCATCGTGATAGAACTGATAAGTTGTAGAAAGGGAAAATAAGTCCAGGTGGAACAATGGCTGTTGTGAAATGAGTGTGGATTCAATAAAATGTTTAATTTTAATTGAACATGTCATTCAATTTCAAATTTAATGTTAGGTATTGAGGTAGCAATCTTAATTTACCCCGTACACTTATCAGGCTGCTGGTTATGAAAAGAATTTCTCAAGGCTTGTTTTCTGCAGTCTAAGGCTCCGCTCGGTGTCAGGGGTTCCCAGGTGTGCTGAAGAATCAGCATTTCTGCCTTTGAGCGGTGGAAATTAATGTGTCCTAATTTATCTCATGAGAATGGAAGCCAATTTCAGCTTATTTTTGCCTACCTACTTCCTCCTTTGAAAACTCATCAAACCCTGCTTTATGCAAAAAAGAACTTGATTTAGGATCAAAATTTCCCCTCCCCGAAATTCCCTTCTAACTTAGTCGATCTCAAACTCGCCCCACTTATCCTTAATTCTCTGACTTGGAAAAAATTTTGGGTAGCATTATCCCCCTTGCATGTCTGAAACAATGGTAAGATTGCTGGCTGCTCCGTGGAGAGGGGAGGGGGGGGGTGATGCCCACTCATATCTGCAAACTGCTCACAGATTTCAGTATTTGGACAGAAATCCTTCACAACTTTCAGATGGTTAATTTCTACAGAATCTATGCTCGCTCATTAAAAACGAAATTTCATGGTTTATAGAAACAACTGGCTCATATCATAAAATGAGGTTTTCCTGTTTTTCTTGTTTGGAGGAAACTTCCCCTTTTCAATAACGGTAAAATTTGTCAAAACGCAGCTCTTGATTCAAACGGTGGAATTTTTCCCGTCAGAATCTTGAAGTAGTCAATTTCAGACCATATTTAGTTAAAACTGAGCCTCTTTGTGTTTTTTTGTTCGGTAGGTATTGAGCTTTCGTCTTAGACCTCCTTGCACTCCACCCTGCCCCCTCTTCCGAATTTGAGGGGGGGGGGAAGGTCTGGAAATTGGGGAAAAGAAGGGCTGGGGGAATAAATTAGTATTGGATAGACATAAGTGTAAAATGACCATGGGGCCATGATGACGTTTTTGCGTCATGCGCCTTGGATCGGGACAGATTTTTAGGTTTTGTCCAGACTTTTTTTAAGTTTCATGCCAATTTCAGGAAGGATGGCCCGGGAACCTCCATTCAGGCCCCACTGTAGCAGTTCAGTTAGTTAGCTCCCTCTCCCCGCCCCCCATGAATTGCCATGTTTTAGTATATTCCTTGATAACTTTTATACTGCTGTAACTTCTGGAGGCGATTTTAGGTATTGAGATATCATGTGTACGTCATTGCAATAAAGTACTCACAGCCCACCCAGCAAAATTTCCTAATGAATTTTCCGTTATAAGAGGAACGATCAAGTTGTATACGCCCAGTATGAATAAAAACTGGATGATTCAATTCAGTTGAATCCTTTTCTCTTCTCTCTTCCTCTTTTCATCTTTTTCACAACATCTTCTTCAGCAAGCATACATTCCCTGCTTATCAACTCGTTTGTAAGTGCACACGGCAAAATCAGTAGAAAAGTGGAGTCTCTAGTTGTAGGATGATTCCTTCAGGGGTGCAGAAAGTGTTCGACCGGGCGGTCGCAGGAGAAATGAGGAGCTTGGAGAGCGGGACGCATAAGTGCAGTTTTTGAAAAAATTGAGAGATTAATGATTTCAAGTAAAACTAGACTTACTGCATATTCTGTGGAAAATTCGCTCCCAAATTCCAGTTTTCAAGCATCAAAAAGTCAGTTTGAATTTTCTTTCCTCCATAAGGATCCATGTAATTTTGAAACTTAAAAAATGTATTTTCGAAATAACAAAAACTGCTCTTGTGCGCCTTGTCCTCTAAGCCCCTCAAATGTGAATGCAGCCGTAAAGGAGAAAAAATATGACGGCAGGGCTAATTTTTGTGAAGGAAACTGCTGAAAGCTTCATTTTTTGGGAAAGGAACTGCTTCATGTGTTACTTTTGCGAAGGAAACTGCAACTCACTCTTTTCTGCAATGAAGATTGTGTTGCATCTTGGTCAGTCTTGAGTGGACTGCAACGTGGAGACAGCGTCAAAATATGTAAAGGCTGCCTCAAAAAATGTGAGGCATAGAACTTACTGCACCCCTGGATTCTTTGATCTGCGCAAAAAATGCAACGGTCCTCTCTCTCTTTAATTACCAGGCTATACACCCTCAAATAAAAGTTTTCTTAGTATTTCGCTCAAAAATTATCCCAACAAAGCAGATTTGTTCAAAGCAAGCCAGTGGAAGAGGTTAACCTTCACTGAAACATCTTTAATCATAATAATTTCATCATTTTAAATACATTTGAATAACACATTTAACAAGATTTGCTTAGCCTCAGCTATTTCAGCAAAGCGAGTGGAGCATGTCATGGTGGAACAAGGGAACATAGATTATGACGGAGTTTTTAGCCATCTAAATTCACAATTAATCATCAACCCTTAATTATTGAATGATCAAAGATCACCAAAGCAGTGTCCATATCGGCTTCCAGATTTACTCATCATGTCCGCTTAGCTAACCTAAATCATCTTTGTCTGAGGTTCATTGTTTGCAAGATTTTGCTTGATCTTTAAAGGCATGTGGAGAGAATTGATCTTGTGGATAGTCTTCCATTGTAAAAATAGTCGTGATGAAGTGGCACTAACCTTTTTTTTGTTAATTCGCCCAGAATTGGAGGAGATATCACTACTGAAAGTAAAAACTTAATTGTATGTGTAGGAGGAGTAATGATTGACGTACTATTAAACTCCTGCCAGTTTGCTTGCATATTAACAAAATGCAATACCTACTAACCAGTCATGATCAGTCCTAGCATTAATTAACACCTGAGGTATTTTCTTGAGAAACCCCATGCCCGCTTTTCTTATATTCTCAAGTCTCATTTTGAATACTTGTGGGCCTTTCTGTTTCCTTTAAGTGCAAGGAGAATTTTTGTCCGTTGCAGTTTTTTGCACAACCGTGTGGCCGTGAACTATCTGCATCCCTGCTTTTATTTTTGCACCATCAAGATTTTGTACAGTACTTAAATTTCTTAATCTCCAGCAATTTTTTATCAATAGTTGCAGCTTAGTCTTTTTAATTGAGTTTTAATAACTTTCAAAGAAGCTCATTCATTTCTCCTCATAATGCATTTAATGTTTTTTTTTTTTTTTTTTTATTTTCTTAAAATTTAGTCTGAGCTTTGTCGAAATAAAATTTCATTGCATCCGACTGTAGTTTCTCTTGGGCTGTATCTGTAGGATTTGTTCAAATTAAACTATGTATACTATTCTTGAAATCGTTTTTTGATGAAGAGTGAGAACCAAAAATTGGTTTTGGAGCGGTCCATCCAATCGCATTTACTGTGCAAATCAAATTCTTGGAGTTGAGCCGTGTTGCATCATGGTAGCGTTGCCAAATGGTGCAAATTTTCCACAGAAAGCGTTTCCCCAAAGGCGCATTGCGAATGTCAATCCGGAAAGTTGTTACCAATAACATTTTCACATCTCGCATTATTTTGCAACACCAGCATGGTGCTACTCGACTCGTCTGAATTTCGAGGATTTCACTCTAAACACGATTGTTAAAGCAACTTTTTTTTTTTTTTAATTTTTTTATTCTATGTTTTCTACTTACTAAGTAATACAAATAATTTCGTTGAGATAATACAATACAAATTTACGAAGATATACCAGAGAAATATTTTTTCCTTCGGCTAAGTTGTCGGAGGAGGGGGGGGGGGTTCTAGGTAGAAAACTATTGATAAATAAGAACTGCAGCCCAACGTTGTGTCAACATAAGCTAACCAAAGCGTCCGCAGTTTTTTGTGTATGCACTATGGACGTCTGGAGAACAACTGTTCTATCAATTGTACACTATCTCCGGTATGTGTAGCGTTGCCAAATAGTGAGTTTGCGGGACTGTTATAAGAAAAGAAGAGCGGAATCACAACCTATCGTGATCATCGCTCTTTGCATGGTGACAAGTTTTCTCGGATTTAAATATTCCCTGACTTTTCAGATATTTTTTACACATAATAATTCTTGACTCTTCCCTCGCTTTTCGAAGATTTTTCGCATGGTTTCTGATAAAAGTCTAAGTCTCATCACAAGCAATTCGCCCGCGAAGCGCAAATTACGGAAATTTCATCGGTTGTGATTTGCGGGATCGACATTCACAATACCTTTTTGGAAATGCTTCTGGCAGATGATGTGCACCATTTGGCAACGCTGGGATGGTGCTTCACAATCCGAATTCCGAGAATTTAATATTAAATATCATTGTAAATGCAATGTAAGAAACCTTGAGAACTATCAGCCGCAGTCACACGCTTTGCCCAAGAAAGCCAGAGCGCCTGCAATTTTTTGTGTGTGCAACACGGACTTCCAAAAAACACGAATGGTTGCATCCAGACCTAAAAAAAAGTATTTCCTCCTTCAAAAAGTAAAGTCCTTTTTGAAAAAGTCGAAGGGCCATCAATTTTTTCCGCTTATGATTACAAAATGTTCACTCATTGCATTTTTATGTTGGAGCACAAAAATAGGGCGCTTATATTTAATCAAATATTAAAAGAAAGTAATGAGTAACTAAAAATTAGACCGAAGTAGAATATTTTTTTTTCATGAAAAGAAAGTATGAATATATGCATCGGGAAATGTTAATATCTCGGTTTGAAGTTAATTCAAGAAATGGTGCAAATCGTTTTTCACACAAAATTTTGAAGTGAGAAGACTCATCAGAATGCCTAAATTCGTGCCTTGTCTAGTGGCCTGTCAATTGCATGTAACCTCATCATTCTATTTCGCCCAAAATGGTTTCTCCAGCATTCTGATCATTTAGGTTCAATTCCAACCGTTAAGAGTAGTCAAAATTCCTCTGTATTCCTAAAAAGTTAGATTTAAAATGTTTTTACTCTCTGACAATTAGAACTTAAAAACAAAAGAACATGGAAACATTGTTGAATACAGTAATTAAAATATACATTATTTACAGTTACGCCAGCATGTCATACTATTCGCACCACCATTTCTATCCAAGATTATTAATGCAAAATCTGTTTTCAGGCGGAGAAGCGGGCCCACCATAATGCTTTGGAAAGAAAAAGACGCGATCATATCAAAGATAGCTTCAGCAGCTTAAGAGATTCAGTTCCAGCCTTGCAAGGAGAAAAAGTTGTAAGTTGAATTTTCTCCTTACTCCTCTCCGGTCACTCACGCTGCCGTCCTATGGAAAAACGCCGTATGAGCCTTTAGGTGTCGCCAGGTTCTTTCGACAGAAGCAGAATTTATCAGGAAAATTTCGAATGTTTTTCTTCAAAATTTTCAGACGGTTTTGTTCGTAATTTGATCTAAAATATTCGAAAATTTCAAAGGAAAAATATGAATAACTTTCCTCAAAGACACAAATTTTACCCAGGGACATTTGGCAACTCTCAAATGGTCATACTGTGTTCTTCCTTAGTACAGCAGCACGTATCTCATGAGACTCCACTTTTATTTAACACATCATAATATTTACATCATAGTTTTTATTATCTTTTATTATCATGATATTCAAAACTTTGAATATGGAGCTATACATACACTGAATTCCTAAAGGAAATCATGCAAATAAAGAAAATTCAAAGGTTATGTTATGGCCTTTGATATATTTGTTTGTCTCTCGCAGGAAAAAATTTATTTGGATTGCGCTTTTCAAGTATTTGTTAGTGACTTTTTTTTTTATCAGCCAACCATTGCGTTAATTTGCCTATTTCCAGTAGTTTTTCTCTACACTTGTGGGTAAAGATACTGACACTTCCAGACAAATTTGTGCAATGGTTCACCCATGAAAAAATAAACTGCTTGTAGAAATACTGAAACAGCACTGACAGGATACATTACTTCATGCAGGAGACAACAATCTTCAGATATTTTTTAAGTGTGAACGAAAAACGTTTTTCATTAAACATTAATTTTCGACAGTAGAATTATTCCTCTCTTTTTTCTGTATTATTTTCACCGGACAAAGTCTTTATTTTGGATTCTTGCCCAAGCGTCAAAATGCAACTTTGTAGTAAATGTGCTTACATGCTCAGGACTTTGGATTTTGACAACTTGGGAAGCTCAGGAAGCTTCCAAGATTTTTTAAAAAAATTACTGAAGTTCAGTGTCACCAATCTGAAATTCTCGTAGATTCTATTTTAAGTGACATTGAAGTATAATATAATGAAGTATGAAGTATATAAATAAGCACAACCTCACCCCTGTACAGTGAACAAGCAAAAAGTTTACTAACAGTAAATCTGTCTGTCAAGTGGACAGGCTCTTTTTAAAGAGGCGGCATGTAGATTGTTCCTGTTTGTTTCATTCCATCCTGTTAAAAGTCGGGAAGTTTCCTGCCAGTAAAATTTGGGCTTTGAAAGGGAACTGATGTGTTTTGTCATTAATCAATGCAACTAAATAATCTGCCTGAAAAATTGTTTTAAATAAATGACTGGTAAGTTAAAACAATTTTTCAGGTTACTTTCTTTATTGACTGGTAAGGTAATATTTTAGGGTTCTGCGTTGCAGGCAAGTAGAGCTCAGATCCTCAAGAAAGCTGCTGATTACATTCAGTTCATGAGGCGGAAAAACTCTGCTCACCAGCAAGATATAGATGATCTCAAAAGACAGAACTCTCTCCTCGAATCTCAAAGTATGTAACATTTTTATTTTATTTTTTCTGTTGTGTATAATGTCCTCCCTTTACTCTGATAACCTAAACCTTCTATTAGATTGCAACTCATTAGATTGCAATTTTCTTTTAGATCCCAGGAAACAATTTGCTCTTTAGAAACAGTGTAAATGTGTTTGAAGGTAATTTTTAAAGATAGAGTAAAAAAAAATGCATTGTGTCACAATCATTAATTTTCAGTGTTTGATATTGAACCGTTTCCAAGAGTCAGAAGGAGGATGGTTTGCTCAGTTTTAAAGTTTTCATACAACCCAGTCCCATGTACCTGTTCATTTTCAAACATGTGAGATGTCAAAATTTCTAACTCTAGCATTTGCGTTAATCGATCGCAAGTTTCCTTGGTAGTGGTGATGAATCAGAAAATTGATGCTGGAGCTACAAATGTGCACGAGTTACTGGTTCTGTATCCACTATATTTATCTGAGAATTATGGCCTCGGCAATAAGATTCCTCTCTTGCCAGGATTAGGCAGGAAATTTTCCAAATTAGTGAGAAAATTGGAAAAGTATCATTGGAACGGAACTCATTTTTTTATTTTCTTCAGCAACTGTGTGAAAAGTTAGAGTTGATGCATTCTTGTCATTAATATTTTCTTCAAATGTTTTATTTTTTTATTTATTTTTTTTATCATAGTTCTCTTCTGGAATTTTTCAAAAGATGTAAGATGGACATTAATCCTTAATGTTCTTCTTCATCTTTTGAGTTATTTATCAGTTTCATTCAGCTTTTTATCCTCTTGTCTTGGCCATCGACACATGAGCTGGCTTTTCTCATGCAAAGTACTGTATGTTAGAGTTTTTTCTTTTTGTTACCATCACCTTTAAGACAAAAACAGCTGCTGAAGTCAGCACGATCAATAAGTAAAAATCACCAATCCCTAAATTATCGATGTTTGGTATGAAAATCAACGTTGTTTCTGTTTCATCTTTGACAAAGAGGGAAAGTCAAGAAATTGAGTAACTTGAAAGGTTTTCTTCCAGGTTTCATTTAATTTTTGGGCTACGTCATATTTTATTGTTTCAGTTTTTGCTCTTATTGACTGCTTCTTTTGCATCCCATTTTCATAGGAAAAATTTTATCTTGGAGACATTAGATATTATTTCTCTTTCCATGCACAGTAATTTAAAATCATGAAAATTTAAAATACTCATTGAGTAACAAATGACGCAAGGGATTTTGTATGATAAAAGTTAATGTAGGCAGGTGAATGTCAGCAAAACTAATATCTTACAAATATTTGTTGATAATTATACCATGGACCCAATTTTTTTAAGTAGTAGGTGTATTTATGTTGCTGGCCTGCCAATTTGCAAAGAACGCAGTATGTGCATTTGAACGGTGCTAAATTCCTTCCGATAAAATTTTTATTTCCAAGAAAGTTGAGTATTTTTTGTTTCCAAGAAAGCTGAGTATTTTTTGTTGAAATTCTGAGAGAAGCTAAATTAGTGGTGGATTAAATGTGGTCCACAACGCAGTCTTAAGAGGTCTCTGAAAATCTGTCCGTTTGCTGAAAATGTGAAAAATTGGCTTTTCAGCTATTTTTTAGCCGCAAAAAAAATAATCGAAATAATGCTCCCCTGCTCTATTAATATTGATATTGCATTTTTCCGCGCTTTAAAAAATGAATAAATAAATCAAAAGGTAATAAACAAATAGGAAAGTCGTCTTGACCCAAAACATTCAAGACCAGCTGCTCTAGATAAAACTTTTTGGAAAATTTTGAAGAAAAAGTATCTAGAGTTTCTTTAGAGAGTGCACATTTTATTGGCAGAAGTTTTGCAATTATTCGAAGGTTTTTACTGTGTTTTCTAACTGCGTAGCATTTTTCTAGCATAGTTTATTTTTATGCTAATGTCTGAGAATCGGTGCATTGTTCTGTTTTGTAGTTCGAACGCTTGAAAAAGCGCGGGCGTCTGGCAATTTTGCAGCAGAACCAACCGACATAAGACTCGATTCCGGATTCCCGCAAGAGTCAGAAACCGATACCTCAGATTCTGAATCGGTAAAAACTACTAGGAAAGCCAAAAAAATGAAGGTCGTCGGGCTATGATATAGAATGAAATTCAAATTACTGCTAACAGAAAAATTGTAACACTCCTTCTTAAAACAAAGACAACAAGAATGAAGATGAAAGTATTATATTTAAAACCCCCACTTCACCTAGTGTTTTCTCTTCTTGTGTACTTCCTTAAAAACCAACTGCATTTTAGCTTATGAAAGATAATGTTCTCTTAGCGAATTATGTAAGGTTTTCTTTCTCACAAGTACAATGAACTTGTGGATGAAAGCGAAAGATCTGACCCTTTTGAATAGCTGGCATCGCTGGGATGAAAACTGTTATTTTTTGGTATAATGATTCGATGGAAAAATGACGGAAGTGCAAATTAATCATCCTTCATTTTATTCAAATCTTTGCCTTAGTACGGATTTCCGATTCTCTTAGCTGTACTAGTAACTTACAATTTTTTAAGCAACCATTTCTTTCAGCAATCGTAGCTATTATTTGGGTGATTATTCAATGTTGTCTCGGATTCCTGAAAAAATAAACGGCATTCTCCATCTATGTTTGGCAGTCGACAGCTTTTGTTTTAAATTATAGGAATATGGTGTCACTCCTCATAAGCTTTATCGCGGGAAAAAAATAAAATATTTTCATTATTACAATATGAGTCCTCCTCTCTCCTCCCATTCATTCAGATTTTAAAGTGAAGGGTTGCAAGATGGTTGCGGACTTCTTAATTTAGTCGTTAGAACGAGAAATCTATGAAAAGTAAAACTATTTAAAATCTGTAAAGAGTTAATCATGCAAACATGGAATAAACAAAGAAACAAAAGAGGAAAAAAGAAGTTACGGAGAGAGTTCCAGCCCCATTGGTTAATGAGTTGACCGTTTTGAGGTGTTATCCGCCAACGAGGAGTAATTAGTCGATTGTCTACCATTAGAGAAAGATATTTGTTATTTGGATCGTATCATCCAGAATAATCCAGTTCCTCCAAAATGAACAAAGATACCTAAGTAAGCATTGATTATTTTGACTATCCCATTTGAATGAAAACCAATTTCTAAGGAAAGAAAAAGACACATGAATTGTTATACTAAAGTTTTCCTCATTTGCAGCTTTAGATCAGTTGTCCTCATATTGTATTAATTTCAGAAGCCTCCATAGCCTTCCATAAATTGAAAGTTTTCTTGCCTATCTCAACCTATAATTCACAAACCTTGTTTGTGGACATGAATTGGTTAACTGCTTGTGTTAATTTTTAGTGGTTGAATCCTGTAGTTTTGCGAAAAATGTTACCATCGTCAAAACTTTAACTTTCTACTTCTGGCATTAACAGAGGTACCACCTTTTGCAAAATGCAATGATTGACATAAGGCATCGTAGTTGTGCATCTCGAGGCTTCTTCCACCTTGGTTTTACCTGTGATGTTTTTGGTGCAACTATCGCAAATGAGTGCATCAGCGTCTGATAATCTAAGGTGAAGGCTTACATCGTGGAGGCATGCACTAAAGCGGTGAATGACATCAATCTTTGTTGTTTTTAAAAGGTGAAATCTTGGATTATATTAAATGGAAAAACTTAGAGTTCGGAAGTTGGAAGGATCCTTTTAATTTTTGCTAATCGTAAACGGCAACCATCCAATCGCAATTTTACAATTTGCATAACGGACCTACTAAACTGATTTTCATTCTTATTGTTTTTGCTCTGAAGTCCAAACTTAATCGGTATAATAGTTTTCTGTTCAGTTTAAACTAAGGACAAGAGAACTTTTGTTCACTTGTCTTTCTAATCAATGTAAGCTGTCTGTCTCTTCTCTTTTTATTTTCAAGTAGAAATAGCTTTAAGTTAAAATTATTGCCATCATCAAGATACTATTGAATCTGGAGGTCATTTTACGTGTGATTCTACTAAATCAGCACCGTGGATCGGGAATGCTTTGCGCTTAAAGTGAGTGGCTGTGAAAAATTCGTGCAAACTTATTCGATACTGCTTACGGAGTAGGTAACTTATCTTTCCTGACTTTCAATTTCAGAATAGCTCCCATGCCACCGAAAACTCTTTGCTTCTATGATTGGAATAATTTGATATACATTAATTTAATTTAATTTGAAGCTTAGTTTTAACTTTGTAAATTTTTATTTTGTATCATAAGACTACTTTTAATTTCCCCTATCTTCTCATTTCCTTATTTTCAGTACAAGAATGAATATTGAATAAATCTTTGTTACTTTATAACTTGGTGTTTTGATTCATTTGTGATTTTGCCCATTAGATGGCCAAACTGAGAAGATTCAAAACCCCCTGTAATTTTGATCGAATGATCAAAAAATCCTCAAAATATGAAGAAGAATGAGGAACAATTAGCAAATTAACAATCTAAAGTAAAGTAACTTGACATCGCATCTCCCTTTCAGATAAACCTAATTTTATTAAGGTTAGTGAAAAAGTAATGAAGAAGGCTTTGTCTCCGGACAATCAATTTTTCAGGGTAAAAAGTTTGTTATTAAAGAATTTCATTTTATTTGCTTCATTCAAAGTATGCATCTGAATGTATTTCTCACTTTTATGTAACTCATATCATCAATATCGATCATCAATATATTTTTCATAAGCTTTAGCGAGAGGAAAAGATTATTTCATTTTTTTATCTCATAAATTATAAATAACTGTATTTCACAGTAAACTCCAGTTTCCTATTAAAGGATTTACAATGTAAATATTAGAAAAAGCTCCAAATTCTCTTGAATTTTTACTGTTTATAAGGAGCTCTAAGAAAACAAAACAACTGAACAAATCTACCAAGAATTAAAAAATAATGTTGAGGCCGATTCTTCGCTTAAGATATTAGAAAAAATACCTTCAAAGTAATTAAAGCTATTAACCTAATTATGAAACAAAATTGAGATTCTTTTAATGTCAAAATATATCATCCGTAAAAAGAAGAGATATGCTTTCTCCTTTATGTGATGATTTTCATAATACATCATTTAAACTCCCATGAAAAAAAAAACAATATCTACTTCTTTGTTCACACCAGCTCTCAAGATACTATCATTGTTATATTAAATTTGCCAAAAACATCAATTCACACTCGGACTGTTTTTTTCTGAAAAACTTGAGCTGTTACTTACGATATTATTTCAAAGTGCAATGCAGTGATTTATCATGTCATATCGGTTAGGATGGATTCTAAAGAAGGTTAATTAATTTTTCTTTCTGGTAACTTGGAACAAGACTGCTCACAAAGCTTTTTAAATTTGATCTAAAGATTACCCACTTTGAAATATATTTCAATCATTTTTAAAACACTGAAACGCAATGCGTTTAGCAAGATACAGGGGAGGCAGTCAAAAATACTGGAAACTCGCACCGCTTATTGTCTATTGTTTCTTCCTAAACTCTGATAGAATCAAACTCTCATTTTTTCATCAAGCTTCGATTTTTTTTTTACTTGGGACCATCCGCAAGAGATCATTTTTAATATAGTTCACAGAAACTCAAAATTGAGGTACGAATTCCAAGGTACTAAAATTGTCGGATCATGATGCAATTTCATCGTGAATTGGCAAAAAAATAACTCGCAATCAATTGTATCGGACACCTAGCAGAGTTTTCTCTGAAAATTTCACGATAATATTTTTGTATCCCCGTAGATAGAAATCCCACAGGTATTTCAGCACGCAAAATGTAGACTTGCCTGGAAGCAGTTAAGTGGGAGAAATTAGTATTTTTCAGCAACCCATGAGCCAATTATAAAAACATCAGTTTGTTGGCAATTCATAAGAACGTGCATTCTAACTTTGATGTTTTCCAGTAAAATTGTTCTTAAGGAAATAATAAGTAAACTTACCTGAATGTCCCCCTCAGACCCTCACAAATCCATAACGTTTTAACGGGCAATTAAAACAACGTTTTAATGGAAACAAACAAATCGGTGAAATTTTCTCTGCAATGTATCTACAGAGCAGGATTTGTGGCAGTTTGGAAAACCTGTAAAGTCAGGAAATTCAGAGGAAGTCAGGGAATTTTCTGCGCAGCGTTTAGCAAAAGTCAGCCTAATGAAAAGGAAAAATCTGAGCGTAACTTTAGTTCAAAGGTCAGGGAATTCGAAAATTTTGGAGTCAGGGTATCAGAAAATGAAGATATTATTGGAGTATGTCGAGGGGTCAATTTTACTCAGAATTGCCCTTTCTTGAGGGCCAGTAGGTAACAGAACTCCTATCTTTAAATCAGGTTTATCCTCCATCAATCTGATTAGAGATAACTAAATGATTTTTTTTTTGGGGGGGGGGGAGCACAAGTGATTTATATTTCGTGTCCTTTGTTGTCGAGTTCTGCAAGAGGAAGAAAAGCTGAATGAAAATAGAATGGATTGAACCACGATGCCGCTTTGATTTCAGAGGAGTTTTAGTTGAAATTATGCTTGAACTGCTCTGGAAGTTGGCTACAGATATCCAATAGTTGTAAGTTAATCCACTTTTTTTATTATAGTTGTAGGATCAAACAACAGGCATTTGCTCATGAATTTCTTTGTCTAAGCATGAGTTATTACTTGGATGGATTTTTTCTTGATTTTCATTCTTAAATTTTAAATGAATGTGCTTTTGTATGATATTTTTCACTGGTGCGTAATGTTTTTTGTGGGTGATTTCTCGATTACAGGTATGAATTGTTGAAATGTGCAATACCTCAAAAGTAAAAGTGCACTAATTTTAAACAAAAATTTTAGGCCTGAGTGCAGAAAGGGCACTTCTTGGTTGTGTTGTCCCCGAGTTTTTCCTAACATTTCATCTAGGAACTAGAAATGCTTAAATTTTTTGTTGAAGCTTTTAAATAATACTCTAAATGATTTCACAATGCTCAAATCAATAAATTGCAGGAAAGGCACCCATTCGTTGGTTTCCTCCGAAATATTCGAGTTAATAGTAAAGATTCTGAAACTCTGTAATCGAGAAGTTCCCCCATTTGCACTCAGCGCCTCATTTAGCAACTTGCGCGGTTTGTCTTGTTTTAAAACCCACAGTGGAAACATGGCAAGATCCTGTTAGCTGTATGCTTTTCTGGCTTTAAGTTAGGTGCTGTAACAAGAAGTTTTAAACAGCATATTGAAGTCTAAGTTGCCATTCAATCTTTGAACAACAAGACAGTGCTAGAAATCAAGCATCACAACAAACCTATTGATGGCTACATGCATTGAAAGTAAAGCTTCTTAATTTAAAAATCCCCCATTATTTTTTATTTTCATCAAGGAAAACTACTTCAAACGTCGCCTTGCAATTCTGCAAGATTTTCTTTACGAATGACAGAAGGAAACTCACAGAAAGTTTTTTTAAAAACTGTTGGTTGATTTTCCACGGAAAAATTAAAACATGAACCGAGACATAACAACTTTGCAATCTGAGATATGCATTTTTCAACTTTAGCCATTGATATGTTTTCACATATTTCCTTTCAGTACAGGAAGCGGATGGTGAATTTTTATGTCATCCTATCAGTGAGAGATCAGCCATTTCCTGTGTTTGAAGTTATTAACTACTTAGTTGCCAAAAAATCAATGTTTTTTCAAATCCAATTTCACTCTAAATCAATATAATTGTGCTTCACAATTAAATCATTTTCTCAGTGTGTTTCTCAAGCTTCCAAATCGTGTGCTTCACAGGGGAAAGAAACGTGTGGTAAACGCAGTTATTCACTGATCTTTGAGTTTGTATTTGATGGCCAATAAACCCACGTTAATTTTTATTTTGTTTAATGCATTGAATTCAACATTTTGCCAACGGTGTGAGGCACCTGACATCGTTCTTAATTTTGGATTAGAGGCAGGTGTCAGTGCCTGAAAGTGAGCCAAACCCATATTCATTTTAGCCGTAACGTGCCTTTGTCGACAGTGAGTTGATATGAACATCGAAAGTGTTTATCTTTCATCAATGAGTTGATTGATGCTTCATTTTTACCTTACCTCGTGGTTTCTCAATGAAATTTATAGTATCGAATTTTCAATAATTTTTCCAGACCAGCGAGGGGTATGATTTTGAAAAGAGTATTAGGTACTTTATTTTAAGGAACTAACAAACCATTCTGTTGTAATTTTTTGGATACTCTTCACTGAAACTAACTGGAAATCAGCTTTCTGCCACTGAAAATTACAAGCAAACGACTGCTGTCAGCCTCCCATACGAATGGCTTGTGAATGTGGATTTGTATCTAACCAAGGATTGAAATGTTTGTAACCAACCTTAACCTTCCGAAGCACAAATTCTATACATATAGAGAAATTGATCTAGAGTATCATTCTGTGAGAAATATCCTTTAAAATTTTGCCTCTTTGTTTCAGAACAATATCTGGAGAAATTGATGATTCAGCGAGCGAACAAGAAAAAACAGTTGGATGAGTAAGCTTCTGGCTCCTTACAATTAGGCCAAAGCCGCAATATTAGATTTATTCTGTTTCCATCCTCTTGTCTTGAGTCGAGTAAGATTTCTGAAAAACAGGTACCAAAGCAACACATCCTTTTTCCGTTTTCCTAGTAGCTCTACGTACAAATATTTGCAATTCGCAAATAAAGAAGACAATTTTTTACACAACAGAGCGTCACTTGTTTTCCGTAGAAATATCATCCTTCCCAATGGTTATGGGTGTTTCTATGCACTGCATCGAATGTCATAGTTCCCATCAGTTTTTCTTTTTTCAATGATACCAGAGTGAAAAATTACGCTAGATATTAGAAAAAATTGAATATTGATTACTTTCTGCCGCAGAACGAAGTTCATACAAATTAATACATTGTGATCCTGTGTCATCAAACTCAGTCTAAAAATATCTTTTTTCTTTGTCACATGAGTAAAAGTTTGAAAAACTTTAATTGACTTAAACTTTAATCATTGATCTTGTCAGAACTTTTCGAAAACTCTAGTATTTTGCATGAAATATTTTTCCGGATGTATTATAGAAATTACCTATCTTTTTTTTTTTATGGATTCCAGACTGTCAAATTCTGAATTCATGATTTCATATTCTCAGTCTCTTTTTTCTTTTTCTTTGTTTCCAAGCGTTTCAAACAAAGTTTGGACAATCGTTTGTTTGAAACATTTGGTAAGAGAGGGCGTTAAGATGGGACAGAGGTAATTGGTTCAAGAGCTTGATGGCTGGGGATCCACTGAAGGTGACGATAGGTAGTAACATGTTTGAAAAATAAATATTAAAGAACGTTGAGTTTTTCATAAATTCCAATACT